AGGCACAATTTATAAATGTATTTCTATGGACACACAACAAAGATATAATTTTTATAACATTAAGTAAGGCATTCAGAGCTGTGAGGAACTGAGGCTAAAATGATATTAATTCAACCTAGATTAGTGATAAACTGAAGATGACTATTTAACCCCTGCAGTAACTAATTACAGATACACAGAAAGGAAATAAGAAGGGAATCAAACAGAACAGTAATCAAGTGAACACCTATAGAAAGGCAGAATTACAGGGTTGAGAAATGAACACAAGACTTTAGATAGCAGCAGTGAAACAGCGAAAGTCTTTCTTGTAGGTGAAGAACATTTATATTTAAATGGATAAGACTCGCCAATTAAAAGGTGAATAGTGGCAGAACAATTTTTAAAAATGACTCATCTAAGCCAGCTTACATCTATAATCTCAGCTTTTGGGGAAACTGAGGCAAGAGAATCCCAAGCCTGAGTTACACAGTAAGATCCTACCTCAAAACAAAACAGTAAATTAAAAAATGACTCCTGTAAATGTTGTAAGAGATCCAAAGGCACACATAAGCTGAAAGACATCATGTAAAAAAATATCCCCTGCACTAATCACAAAGAAAGCTGGGTGGCTATATAAATAACAGACAAAACTGATTTTATTCCTAAATTATTTATTTTATTTAAGAAGCAAGAAAACAAATAAACAAAACCCAACATTATATACTGATAAAAGGATCCATCAATCAAAAAGACAACAATTATAGTCAGAGAGCCATAGAGTAAATGAAGCAACTAAAGAAATGCTGTTGGGGCGGGGGTGAGGCTGGAGAGATGGTTAAGAGCACTGACTTCTCTTCCAGAGGACCCAGGTTCAATTCCCAGCATCCACATGGCAGCTAACAACTGTCTGTAACTCCAAGATCTGACACCCTCACATAGACATACATGTAGGCAAAACATCAATGCACATAAAATAAAAATAAAATTATTAAAAAATATGCTGTTTTTTTTTAAAGAAATTAACAAAGTAACCAAAATAGTAGATGGAGAAAAAGGAAGACTCAAGTCACTGAAATGAGGAGTAAGTTACATCACTGTCAGCTTTGATGAGGGCTCAGAGGGCTAGGAGTGGACACTATGGATGCTACATGCCAGTAACCTGAGTGAAGCAAAGAAACTCCTGGACATATAAACTCAAAAATGACTCAAGAACAAAGAGATTTGACTCAAAAATAAAGCAAAGAAATAAGCCCAGGATCTAATTAATGGCTTCACCAATGAATTCTATCAAATAAGAGAATTAACACTAGTCCCATACTTTCCCATTTCCTAAGCTGTCCTACAGGTCAGAATTCCCAACATCAAAGCAAACAAAAAATAGTATAAGAACTGGAGACCATACAGCAACATCCCTTTTGAACACACATTCAAAAATTCTTAATAAAAGCCGAGAAATTTGGAGGCAGAGGCATGTGAACCTCTAGGTACTAGGCCAACCTGATCTACACAGCAAGTTCCAGGCCAGCCAGAGCTACATAGTGAAAGCTTGTCTAAACAAAATTAATTAATTTTAAAAAAATCTTTAACAAGAGACGGGAAATGGCTCAGTTAGTAGAGTGCTTGCCATACACACATGAGGAACTACTTGTATCTCCAGCACCCACACAAAAAGCCAAGCATGGTGTTATATGCCTATAATCTTAGCACTGGGAAAGCAGAGACAAGAAGAGAGTCAGCCAACTATTCTTGCCCAATCAGTGAACACCAGTTTAGTGACAGACCTTGTGTCAAAAAATAAGGTGGAAAATGACACTGGACATCTAGCCTCCACACATACATACACATGCATATAACACACACACACACACATACATACACACACACACACACACACACACACACACACACACACACACACACACACACACACACACCCTTAACAAGATACCAGCAAACTGAATCCAGCAGTCTACTAGAAAGATTATACAGCATGGCTGAGTGGGACTTGCCCAAATAATGTAAAAATGGTTCAACAATGAATATCAGTAGAATACATAATCTAACATAGTGAAGGAAAAAAACCAGTTTCTCAAATTGATGCCAAAAAAAAAACAAAACAAAACAAAAATCACTTGACAAAATCCATCCCACCTACGCCTTTGGTGATTAAAAACAGATTACTTGATAAACTAGCAATACAAAAGGACTTCCTCAGTTTGATAAAGGGCACTAGTAAACCCCATAGCTAGTATCATACTCAGCGGTGGAAGATTGCAAGCTTTTCCCCAGAAAGTCAGGGTAAAGACAAGGTTGTCCACTTTTACTACTTCAGCACTTTATTAGAAATTTTAACCAGCACAATTTTAAACAAAAAAAGAAAAGGTCCAAATCAGGAGCTAGGCATGGTGGCACATGCCTATAAGCACAGTACTCAGGATACTTAGCAGAAAGATCATGAGTTTAAGGCCACCCTAGGCAACATAGTGAGTTCTAGGCCACTAGCCTGAGCTACAAGGCACAGGTGCGTGTGTGCACACATACATGTACACACACACACACACACACACACACACACACACACACACACACACACACAGAGGCACACACGCACGCATATACAAAGTCCAAATCAGAAGGAAGACTACCTCTAGCTCTGTTAATACATAATCTTTAAAAAGAAACAAACTATTGGTGCTAATAAATAAGTTAAACAAAACTATAAGATCTACAGTCTCAACAATTGCTGCGGGCCGCAGGAATATATTATAAGAACTCAGCTGGTTATGGCAAAGTCACTACCAGGAGGAATCAGGGAATTCCTCCAGAGGAAGCCAAATCCCAAGGAGTTTTTGGTGTTACTTGGCTTGTCATATATTAGCTGTCTTCTGTTATGAAAATCATGTGTGCCTTCATAGTTTTCCCAATTGACTTTTCCCTAAGAAGGGATAACAGTGTGGACTGATCACTCTCTGGACATACACATTCCAGGTATTTGGAGAACAGCCTCAGGAAAGGCTTTCTCTGGAATCAGATATCTCCCTTGGCCACTTTCAAGGACTAGCAGTAATAACAGTCCACATGCAAGTCTCCTGATTTAAGGCAAATTCCACAAGGAGACACCACCTAGGTCAGGTGGACGTTAAGTAATAGCTTTACACAGTTCAGCTCAGACCCTCCTTTCTTACAGCCTTACTAACTTTATAGACCGCTAACTCCTTACCTAACCACTTCTAGGAATATTTAGATAACCTTCTGCGCTGACAGCTATGCTCAGCCAGAAGCCCAGCTCAAGCCTCCCTGTAATTATCATTATTGGCAGCATCCGGCCAGGTCCATCACCGGATGGAGGAAAGTACCTTATAAGAGATACCTCTGTACTCTCTAAGAACAGACTTAATCCAGGCTACCTGTCTGAGAAGGCCTGGTGGATGTGCCAATTAAGCCTTACTTCCTCCTTTCCCAAACCTTACCTCCAGTTCCAGATCTCCCTTTAACTATCATCAGAGGCATCTAGCTGTACACGGGTTGCCTAGCAACTGAGCACACTTTCCCCCACCCTGCAGAAAAAACGGCAGATAGCTTGGACAGATCGGAGCCACAGGAAAAAAGAAGACAGTTTTATTTTCTCCCATTGACCTAGCAACTTATAGATTCTTAACATTTTCTACCAATCACGTTTAAGATTATAGTTGAGCACATAAGAGCCCTCTTCTTAGATATTACCTGAATTCAGCCTTTAGTTAATTCATTTTCCCATTGGTCACTTCCCTTTGGGGTTGCAAATGATAATTAACGGTTATTGCCTCTCAATGTGATTCTTATCACCCCTCCGTTTGACCCTGGAAGCCTGGCTTTATGTATCAGGACTTCCAGGGCACGGAGAGTCGGAGAAGAGAAAAGAGAGTGGAAGAACTAGACGGGTAAGAACTTGAGAGGAACAAACTGAGATGGGGAAGAACTAGATTGAAGGGTTAAAGAGAGGACTAGAGGAACGAGATGGAAGATGAGGAAGAGCCAGATGGGGAAGAACAAGTTGAGGAAGAACGAGATGAGGAGAGAGAAGGAGATGGGAGAAAAGATGATATGGGAAGGAACAAGATGGATGAGAACCTAGAAGGGGCAGAACTAGATGAAGGAATTAAGATAGAACCTAGAGGGGACCGCAGACAAGTATAGAGAGAAATCAGGCTAGAAATGAGCTAAATACGAGAACAGAAAATAAGCTTGTAGCTGACTCAGAAGAATAAAGTGTATGGACTAAGGAGTTTCGCGTACATAGATTCATTTCTTCTCATCAAAGATTATCAGCTGGTTGTAGATTCTTCCCGGATCCTGGGAGGGGACTATGGAGGGGCTGGACCCCCTTAGTTCCCGATAAACAGTAAGAAAAATAAGCAGTAGGAAATTAAGGAAACAATTTATTTGGCTGAGACTGTATACCAATGGCTAAGTATTGGCCTGCATATGCAACACAGATGGACAAAAAAACACAAAAAAAAGCTATAATAGCCAAAAACTTGGTACTGGCATAAGAATGGCCACAGAGACCAATGGAGCAAAAGTGAACTCATGCATCTGTGATTAGCTGATTCTTGACAAGAGTGTCAGGACAAGTCTCTGGAGAAAAAAAGTCTCTTAAGAAAGCTGTTGATGCCAGCCATGGTGGCCCACGGCTTCAATCTCAGCACCTGGGAGGTAGAGGCAGGCAGATCTCTGAGTTTAAGACCAGTCTAGTCTATAGAGTGAGTTCCAGGACAGCCACGGCTACACAGAGAAACCCTGTCTTAAAAGAACTACAGAGAGAGAGAGAGAGAGAGAGAGAGAGAGAGAGAGAGAGAGAGAGAGAGAGAGAGAGAAACTGAGGTCTACTTGGTTCTCAGTAGACAGCAACCTAATCACCAGACCTGAAGATTATCAGAATGCTTTTCTTCACCAGGATACTTTTCTCCAGACTGGAACAATATGAAACCATTTAAGTTTATAGATTGATAAGAAACCATAATTATAATTTAGTATGTTACCTCCTCTGGGAGAAGGAGAGTCATGGCCTCCAATGACTACAGAGATGCCAGAATCTTCCAGTTTCCCCTTCCATTTTTCAATGATGATCCTAGACTTGTCCTGTAAGTGTGACACTGCAGGTCAGGAAACTTCCCTTTAATGTGATTTGTAAAGCATTAAGTCACCCAACAACTGGCCCATAAATACCTTGCTGGCATCATTAAAAACAGAGAGCTCCATGGTGCCTTCAAAGTCTTGCTGTAAAACAGATGCCAAGCACTCATCCAACCACTGTTCAGCATTGTGCACTGGGAGGATGATCGACTAGAATTCAGAGAAATGGGTCAATAAACAGCCATGGGGAACTGCACTCCCTTCAGCATCCATGAGACGGTTACCCCAAAAGACAAAGGTCTGGCCTTCAGAAGGCCTAGAACCAGGCCTCATGATAAGGCATGCCCAACAAACCAAAGATACCTGTTTCTCCTCTCTAAGCTCCTGACATTCATTTGACCCATAAGATGTAATAGCTGTTACCTCAAGTTCTTGATGCTTTTAAAAAGTTATTTCATTTATTCATCTGTTATCGTATGTGTACGCATGACAATGGGAAACAAATTCAGGTTGTCAAGCTTGGTGGAAAGTGTCTTTACCCATCAATCTATCTATCCCCATTCCCCCTTAGATACTTCTGAAAGGGGAAAAAAACCTGAAGAGCGTCAAAATGCCCTTCCAGCTCAATGAAAAATTCATGATTTTAATCACTAGGCAAAAGCATCGTCATTCTGATTAAACATCTTTCCCCTGCTCATGAGAACCAGCCCTGGACTAGACGGCAAACCCACCCTTAGAAAAACTTCAACAGAGTGACCCCCTTCATATTCCCGAACAGCTAATCAAACAGCCGAGCTGGACCAAGAGGGCATGTAGAGGCCCTTAATCTTTGTTCTATACTTGAATTCAGGAACCAGCACTCCTCAGGGAGTCTCATAAAGTCAAAAGTTTGTAAAGTGGTATGAAATAAAAATCACTAAAACTTGATGACCAAAAGAACGATTGTCATAGGAACTGCCTTAATTTTATATAATACAGTAAGCAATAAAGAATAGCCATAGAAATTAACAGTCAGTGTCACCCTTGAGTTAATATGCAAAAACAAAAATGGACAAGTTTCTGAGAAGGAAAACCAATAGGTTAGGTAGGTGTGAACATATACATACATATATGCACATGTTGTATAGCTATAAGTAACACAGACAATAGCTACATAATCTCCACAGACATGGCCTACATACAATATAGACAATATCTATATAGATAACTATAGATAACATCTACACATAATATACATTTTAAAATTACTGAATCTGAACATAGTTATAAAAAACTTACAAATGAATAGAAGACAAAATTTACCAAGTTCTTTACAAATGAAATGCTCTTTGAGGAGCTGGTGTTCCAGAAGTGGCATTTCATCCTGTTTGTGTTTGTTCTGAAAACAAATGCCTTTTTATTTATTATTTGAGCTTCTGGGGATTGAACCCAGGGCCTTACATGTGCATGTCAGAGTTATACCTGAGTCCTCTGGACTTGCTTTGTAAAGGAAAAGAACATTTTTACTTTTTTCAAGACCTACAAGTGAAGAAGGATGTGGTGACTCATTTGTTATCAGTAAGTGTGATGTGGAGGCCAGAGGGTTATTTCAAAGTCATCCTCAGCTACATGTGTTGCAGGACAGCTAGAGCTACAGGAGACTTTAATAATAAAAAGAAGGGTTATAATGTGAATTTTTTACAACGTTAGGCCTTGATTTACCTATTCCTAATTTCAGTAAGACTGGCATGAAAAATACAACCCACTTGACGCTGAGTCTGTGAACCACACCTACAATGTGTCCTGGCTCCTGACATCTAACCCACCAGCTCGGTTATGTGGGATAGGTGTGGCATGCTGGAGAGGCGAGCGGGGCTAAGGGAGTGGGGGTGGGGGCGACAGTGTGCTGGGCAAGTAGGTGTGTAGGTCAGTGTACGGTAGGAGCTCGGGCAGGACAGCCATCTGTATACATGTACAGGAAAGGGTGGGAGCCCTCCAAGCTGATGTTCCTGAACCCGTGGCAGCGTTCCGGAAAGACCCTAGCGGCTGCAGGCCTAGAAAAGGATAATTACTAGGTCCGGAGGGAGGAAAAATCTACAGAAGGGACGAGGGGGCGGGGCCGTGTCTCACCCCGCCATACCTACCACTAAGGCCAGCGGGCTGTGCCCAGTGGCGTCCTTGCGGAGCTGCATGGCATGGCTCCACCGCCCTTCTCCTGCACGAGCGTCCTGCTTAGGCAGCCAAGGTTTGCACAGCAAGCTCCGGGAGGCGGTGCAGAGACTGGACCACTTCTGATTGGCGCAGTGCCACGTGGATCGCTAGGAACTAGCCACTTGCGAGTTTCGGACTGTGCAGGGCCAGAAAATAACTACGTTCTATTGGTGCAGAGACACGTCAGTCAGGAAGGGAAGGCGGTGCTCCGAGCAGAGTGCTAAGCGAGGCGGCCTGGACTCGTGATCTCGCCGGACAAGCTACCAGCCTCAGCCTGAGCAGCTAAGGCGGGTCTTGGGCCCAGAGGTGGCCGCAGTCCACACTGAGTGGAGGCGGGGCCAGACCGAGCAAATGGTCTGTGAGCGCTTCTGGCTTTCCGCCCTTCTCATAGTACTCTCCGGTCTTTGCGGCTTCTTGGCCTGCGGAAGTCGTCTTGCCCCACCTGATGGAAATAATCGCAAACTGAAGTCCACAGTCAAACGAATGTTATAAAAATACTTTAGAAACGGGGGACCTTTGTGAGAGGTGCCACCCTGTGCGGGTAGGTGATGACTTAAAAAATGCAAACCCGACCACCCCAGGTTGGGTCTATATAACTTTATAAGGAAAATGGCAGTAAGTTTAAAACAAATAGGCGACATTTCATCTGAACTGTGTTTGGTCTGAGCCGGATGAGGATGTGGGAAGCTCGCTGGACTAGGCTGGGCTGTGTCTGGAGTGAACCAGCAGTAGATAGTTTGTATGGACCCAAGCACTCAAGAGTGTGGCCTGCATTCGGAGGCGGGAAGCTCAATCAAAGCCAGATGACTGAGTTTCTATGCTGCACAGAAATTCACCGGCCCAAGGTGTCCTGGAGGTTGATGAGGGAAGGAAGTGTTCTATGAGAGTCCCAAAGTGTGGGAGTCCCACAGTGCCAAAAGGTCTCAGGAAATCACTCTGAAAAGGACTGCATGAAAGATAAGTAACCCGCTGGCGGAAGGATAGATAGAGAGGAGGGTCCTCCGAGAAAACACTTATTACTTATGTAGCTAACCCATGTGCATTTCTTTTCCAAACAGTGCTTTTCCGACTTATGCTTGTGCCTGCAGTTTCTCTGAATGGTCATCCCACAACTAGAAGTGTATTTTAAGATGGCATATTTTGGTCCTCCACACCCTCCATTTCTGAGGGGGTGACACTGAGGTCACCCACTGGCCTTGGCACCAAGCAGCCCTCAAGAGTTTCTACACTTAAAAATAGCAGGAGAAGGGATGGAAGAGATGTCTCAGCGGATAGAGACGCTTGCTGCCAAGCCTTAAAACCCAACTTTGAGCCCTGGAACCCACATGGTGTCAAGGAGAGAACCTACACCTACAAGTTATTTCCTGATCTCCATACATATAGGCAGTGGCTCACTCATCCACACCCCAAACACACATGCAAAACAACTGAAGAAAATGTATTTAAAAATAACAAATGATCTCAGCAAAGCTTTAGGGGACTGCAGTGCTTTTTGAAAATTTGGTTTTAGATTTATTACTTTATGTATTTGAATGTTTTGCCTGCATGTTTATGTATCTACCACATGCCTACCTAGTGTCCATGAAGGTCAGAAGAGGGTGTCAGATCCCCTGAGGCTGGAATTACAGACAGTTGTGAGCCACCAAGTTGGTGCTAGGCATCAAAATCATGTCTCTGCAAGATTAACAAATGCTCTTAATTGCCGAGCCAACTCTCCAGCTAAGGACTGTAATGCTTACGCATTGGAATACTTTCCTGTTTTTCTTTGAAGGAAAGAATCTACAGGGTCCCTGGTAGTTCAGCAAAGGAACCTAGTACCCTTAGCAATCTATCAGCTTGATCTTAGGAAAAGCAGTGGCACCCAACCTCTTTCTACAGCCTGTTCTAGGCATCGCCAAACCTTTTCTCGCCTGTATAAACAGGGTGTTCCCATTCTACCATTAAGCTAGAACAGGGCTATGATAGAACCTCTGCAGGTCACTGTGAGAGCTCCCTAACTTACCCCACATAGAGAAGGTGAGCAGGTGACAAGAACTTCAAGAGCTCTGAAAATTGAGTGTGCTTTGGCTAGCACTATGCTACCCCTCTAACCTAGACTAACCCGTTCAGGTTACTACTCTTAAGTGCTCTAAACTGAGACACATGGGCACGTTTATGAGCACCTCTTTCACATAAAAAAAGTTTTCTTTTAAAAACTAAGGTCAAATGCAAAATATCTGTAACTTCTTACAAAGCAAAGCACGATGTCACATACGGTATTTTTACTAAAACTGCATTTTGTCTGGAAAGCCAATGAAAAGTATAAAGCATTAGATGAGATGAGTAGAAATACAACCTTATCTTTAAGTCTGACCAAAGCAATCTGAAAATTTGTTTTCAAAGGCCTAATGGTCTCTCAGAATTAATGTGTGGGGAATAGTTTCATTTTAAATGACTTAGTAGTAAGTAGCATTTGAATTCCCAGAAAGGGCTGGAGATAAGGGGTCAAAGATAAGGAGGTACATGTAGTTTCTGCACTTTGTAGCACATGGTGTTTTAAGTAGGCTAGAGCTGCTTATATCTCAGTGAAGGGGCTCTGGCTGACCCGAGTGTAAAGAGGATAGCTGCAGCAGTGAGGGTAAGGCTCTTAGCTCTGGCCTCTTGGGCTTTCATCTTTGCACTGGCTCCGTGTTTCTTATTTAATAAGACGGTTACTTCTATACCCGAGCATGACAAACACGGCTCTGGCAGGCTTGCCCTTTCACCACTCCCTCTTCCTTGCTAAAAATCATTAGATTACATTCCTGAAGCTTGCCACCAGGTCTATTCCCTTATTTGGCCACTTCCTGCTACTGAGGCTGACTACCAAGATCTAGCTGTCAAAGTACTGAAGTCCAGCAGTCAAAAGCTCCCTTTTGATTGCCCTAATTAACATGCCCAATCCAAAACAAACAACCTCATCCTAACATGGGGGTTCCTCTTTTACCTTTATAAACTGCTATTTGCCTATGGGTCACATCTGTCTCTCTATCCAGAGGCAGTCCTTTGTCCCTTTGGGACAAATATCCCTTCCTCCTCCCCCTTGTCCCTTTCCCCTTTCCCCTTTTCCCTCATTCTCTATCTCCTGTCTTTGTCTCTTATTCCCTGCCCTTTGTCCTTCTGGGGCAAATCCCCTTTGTGCTGAGAACTTGGTCTTGGGGTATAATACCGGTCCCTTCACTCACCCTGAAATCTTTTGCAATAAGGAAGTTGCTTTTTGCTGTATCCTCCAGTACAATATGACTAGACGTTCTCTTTTTAAAAAAAATTATGGTGCCAGGTGGTGATGGTGCATGCCTTTAAGGTTCTCAGGAGGCAGAGGCAGGTGGATCTCTGTGAGTTTGAGGCCAGCCTGGTCTACAGAGCAAGTTCCAGGACAGCTAAGGCTGTTACATAGAAAAACCCTGTCTCGGAAAACCAAAAAAAAAAAAACAAAAACAAAAACAAAACCCAATTTTTTAAAAATGTGTATGGGTGTTCTGCATACATATATGTATGTGTGTGTGTGTGTGTGTGTGTGTGTGTGTGTGTGTGTGTGTGTGTGTGTGTGTGTGTGTGTGTAGGCTAGAAGAGGGCGCTGGATCCCCTAGACTGCAGTTACAGATGGTTATGAACTGACATGTGGTTCCTAGGAATCAAACTCAGGTCCTTACAGGAACAACCAGTGCTCTTCATGACTGAGCCATTTTAACAGCCCTGATGTGTTTCCTCTGATATTGAAATATTCTACCCTCAGGGAAGCTCCTTAAGCAGAAAGGTAAACAACTGGAAATAGCTTCAGGAAGTCACTGAAACTGACCAGATTCACTAGTCCCCTTCCGTGCCAGAGTAAACAAAAGCTGAGAAAATCCTTCTCAGACTAAAAGAAGCTGAGCTGCAAAGAAGACTTGGAGGAGAAAAGCTGCAAAGAAGGCTCAGATCAAAACAGCTGCCTCAAAGAAGCAGAAACCAGCCAAGCTATCTGGAACAGGTTTAGATCAATTGAGACACCTAGAAATGACACTCTCCAAACTGTTGAGCTGCCTGCAGGCTGTGCAGTGTGCTCTAGGTTCTCAGCTTTTGTGAGCTGTCACCCATGCTGGGGTGGCCCATGGTGATGTTTTTTGTTATTTCTGTTATGTCTGAGTTATTTCTGAGAGGGCCAGGCAAATATCATAACAGGCTGCTCAGTCTTTGCTCACAGATCAGGCCTCAATTTCAGTTTCCTGAGACTGAGGAAGCAGTTTCTGGGGGAGCCATGAACAAAGGAGAATAAATCTCCAACACACCTGACAGCAAGGACCAGGCCTGAGCCACAGTCAGCAGATAACCAAATAAGGACAAAGCCTGGGACTTGTCCAGGCCTGCCCCAAAATGGAAAAGCTGTAACCTTAACCAGCCCTGATTGCCACTTGCTTAAGCCAATCCTTTCTGAAATGACCTAACTGCTCTAGGAACTCCCCTTGGCTGTGCTTAAAAGGAGCCTGCAAGTTCCTCTTGGAGGTCGATGCCATTTTGCCTTTGTGTAGGATGGTTGACCCCAGCATGCTGGAATCTTTCTTGTGATAATAAATGGTCTTGCTGATTGCATATGTGGATGTTGGTCTTTTGTGGGACTTCTCCAGGACCTAATAATTTCTACTCCTGAAAGCAACCCTAATAAAACTCAGTGGTTCACCAATTGGACTTTGGTGGTATCTGTATTTGAGTCTGTCATGGGTTCCCTATCTAGGGTGAGTAGACATATGTGTTCCATCTCCTCAGGAAAAGTTTTGCCACACAACACCTGGAGGTTCCTTTTTGCAAACATCCAGAGTGATAAAGCACTGCAGAAGTTCATGGTGTTAGCAGGGGCTGGTCGGAAATCCAAGCCTAAGCTTGATCCTCTTGAGGTAGGGAGAATCTCACCAAGATACCACAAAAGGGCCAGGCTATGGATACTGGCACCAGCACTGGCAGAAGATGGGAAATTGGCAGGACATTGTGTTTACTGTATTGAGAGCATGTTGTCTTGAATCAGAGCAAAGAGTAGCAGGGATGAAGTATACAGATGATTAGTTATGGGTATCTG